CTTCGGTTCCTGCTGCCCTATATTTGTCAGAGCCAATGTGCACTTTACACCTTTAGTCTTCTGGAATGATGATGATTCCCGTGCATCAGTGTGATGGAAAAGATAGTATGCACAATTTTATACTTTCTCCTGGTCCATAGGATGCAAGGGAACGCTTAGCACACTTCAGGCAGAGTTCCTCTTCCAGTGGAAATTCCATCATCCTGCCTTTAATCTTTTTTAGGTGGGGTTTTTTTGGGGGGGGGCAGATTCCTTAAATGCAGCCCCTCCTATAGTAGAAGGACTTGACCTTCTGCCTTGCCCTGAGTGTCCATCTTGATCATTATGGAGGCAGGAGGGGTCCTTCGGATGCCCCAGGGGTCGACGGTTTTAAGATGAGCTTGGGTGCCACCCCTTCACCTGGGTTGTCCGTTTGGGAGCCTTTGCCAAGTGGCAGACCATTCTGCTCCCTCCTGGTTCATTTCCCTGCCCCCGGGCGGGGGGGGAGGAGGGAGAAGGAAGATAACCAGATGCCAGCTGGTTTGGATGAAGTGCCACAAAAGAGTTTGAGCTGCTTTGGGGCAGGGACGGCAGCCCAGTCAGTAAACACCCTGCTCTTCTGTCTGTCTCCAGGTGTCAGGATGATCGGACACACGCACGCACACACACATCTGTTTTTGCCGTTCAGAAAGCTCAGCTCCTGACCCTTGGCCCATGACAGAGCAAACAGGGCAAACCACCCCGAGCGAGATCCCTGGATGTTGGGGATCCCCCAGAGAAGGGCTGCCAGTCCCAGCCGAGGGGGGCTGGACAGGGTGGAGGACCCCTTGACTGGGGTCGAGGAAGCTTCCGGGGTTCCCCTTGGCAAGCAACTCAGTCCTGAGGGACACACACGGTGGGGGCCATGGGCTGGCCAGGGCTCCCTCCTTACGCTTGTGGCTGTCTGACCCCCAAGGCTCCCCTGTGGTGTGTGAGGTGTGTGGGTGGCCGAAGCCCTTCTGCTGCCCGCCCTTACCCCCCGACGTGCAGGCGGCTCACCAGGCCTGGAGGAAGTCGGCCTTGCCTGGAATCCACATGGCCTGATTCCAGTCCCGGTTCTCGGCTACAGAGAGGTAATGGGGTTTATTCCGGGAAGAGGGTGGCTCTGCTCTGGCAGAAGATGCTTTCTCCTCCTCGCTTCAGCCCTGAGCCCCAGAAGGCCTTTGTTTGTTTCCTCTGTGCCTCGCCCTGCTAGGCAGCGGCTTGCGTGTCCTGGATTCCCTTTTCTTTCCCTCGGGAAGGGGCCTGTCAGGAGGAGGGCGGTTCTGTCTGAGGTGGCTACTCATGGAGCAGGGGCCAAAAACTCTCCTGCTGAGGAAGCCCCCGCTCTCCAGCATCTCTGCCATTTCTAGAAAGCGTGGCTAAGCATGTTTTGGTTGACTTGGGCGTCCTTTTGGAAAGCGGGGGGGGGGGGGGTTAAAGTAGAGCTCAGACATCAAAGTAGTTAAAAAGCCCTGTTAAGGAAGATGAAAGGGAAAGTTTCAGGACTCAACCGGGCTATGCCACCACCACCACCGCCACGCTCTCGGCTTGCTGCATCTTGCTTTTAGCTTCATCGCCCGCTGGGATCTCCAGCAGCGAACGCTTGGCTCCGTCCTCCCTCCCAGCCTGGACTTCGGTTTTCTCGCCCTCCTTGTTGCGCCTCCCTTCCTGTCTCTCCGATGACCTTTGTGCTGCACCCGTTGTGGCTTCAGCGTACTGCCAGCCCAACCGTTTCCGGGCCGTCACAACCACCTTTTCAGGTAGAGCGCCGCTGGGTGTGGTCCACCCTCACAATCCTTTTCCAGAGATCTGGATGCTTTTCCTGCAGCTATTCTCTGGCCAGACAGGCGAGCGAGGTGAACAGTGGAGGGGGCGCCCTTGCACGTTGGGCTAGTCGGATTTCATGTTTGTGATGGGATACAGTGACACCAGGGCGAGGTTGCTGTGTACGTGTTGGTGCCTCCCATGCATGGCATCCTTGTGGACCTTGTGATTGGGCAGCTCTGGCATCGCTGGCCAGTGGTACTTGCGTGGGCCAGTTGGCGTGGCCGTGGTCTTCCTTATCTCAGCTGCTGGCATTTTCCTCTCAGATTTGCTGCTTGGTGCCTGGAGCAACTTGACAATGCTCGGCTCCCTACCTGAGCCTTAGCTGACCACTGGGGGTGGGGGGTGGGAAGGTCAGATAGCCTCTCTTGCACAAACGCCCGGAGCAACTTGACAACGCTCAGCTCCTTACCTGAGCCTTAGCTGACCACTGGGGGGGGGCGGGAAGGTCAGATAGCCTCTCTTGCACAAAGCTTCTCCTCTGACTGGCCTGATGCCTCTTTAGTGCTTCTGAGGTTTTGCCTGCTGGTCTCTCTCTCCCCCCATCCTCTCCCATTTCCTTTCTGGAAATAACTGGAAATGGTGCTTTCCTCGGACGTAATGATACTAGGGGTTGAAGCGATTTTATTTTGGGATTCGTGCTTTTATCCAAATGGTTTGCAAGAACAACACATCACATTTGTACATTCTGTGGCTGTGTGGAAAGCATAGGCCGACCAGCGGGTGCGCGAGAGGTGTGGTGAATACCTAGCCTTACAACCTCAGCTCTTGGCACAGAACATCAAGGCTGATGAGAGAGGGACCCCTGGTTGCCAACACACCTGAAAATGGGATGCTGGAGATTAAGATCTCAAATTTGCCTGTAGTTTTGCACAAAGGTTATTGCGCAAGTGAAGGTGAGGCGGAAGCCTCTTGTTTAGCACAATGGACAAACGTCTGTCATCTTACATGTCTAGCCTTCGCTCTCTCTGTTGACTTTGTGATACTTGGTTTTGAAAACTTGCTGTGCATTAAAATAAGTTTCCTTCATGGTAGGATTTTCAACAAGAAGGCAGGACTCGCCGGAAAAGATAATATTGTTGGGAAAAGTTGAAGGCTGCAGGAAAAGAGGAAGGCTTAAGGTTGGGTAGATGGATTTGATAAAGGAAGCCGTGGCTGCCCATTTCCAAGACTGGGCTGGGTGGTTACTGGCAGGAGTTTCTGGAGGTCACTGGTCCATAGAGTTGTTGAAAACGGGAAGCAACCTACGACAGGGACCTCCTAACCCTTTGCGGTCGTTAGAAGTCCTTATTGTTTTGTATCTGGAATCTGCCAGATTAATGATCACAGTTTGCCTTCTCTGATTAGCACTGATATAACATTGATTTAAAAAAACACACACCCCGACTTGCTTGAGATGCCTTGTGGGGGCCCCAGGTGATGCTAGCTAGCTTCATGGGGGCAAAGGGGGAAGGGGGCCAGCGGCTGAAGGAGGTCTGCTGCCTGGATGGTATAAGGGACCCCGTTCAGCTCCTGGGCTGGACGCTCCTTCTTAGCGCACAGAAGTGACCCCTTTGGCCCAGGTGGGGACTGACGGCCAACGAGCGTTGGCTTCACCAACTGCTTCCCACCAGCTTTTGTATCTCTTTGCCTCTTGCTGGTCTGTCGGTTGTTGTGCTCCTGTAGGGAGATCAAAACTAAATCAACCGTGGCACATCCCAACCCAGCCCCGTCTGCACTGCTACCTCTTTGTCCGCTGAGCGAGCGCCATGCCAGATCCGTTTTCACAGCTGGCCCCTTCTGTCTGCTCCGTATTTTTCTGCATGAGCAGAACAGCCCCCTTTCCCTGCCCCAAAGATCTTGCTTCTCTGGCAGCCCAGAGGACTCCCCACCCCAGCCACAAGACCCTTCCCCTCCTCCTCCTCCTCCTCCTCTAAGTAACTGGGTGGCACCTGTCCCCCTGAAGCAGAGGGGTGCTGTGGGGCTTCTTGCCCCCCAGCTGGATGATGATCCACGCCCCCTGCCAGCTAAGGAAGGGGTGCCCCAGTTGGGCAGGATGGGATTTTGCCAAGCTCCGGGGGAGGGGGGGATTTGTCTTTTTCAGCAAAAGAGCCAGAGGGAATATCTGGGTTGCCTGGTGGCTTGGAAAATCTCCGCACGGTCCTTGCAAATCCCCTCTGCTGACCTACATTGAGGCCTGTGGTTCTACCTGCTGGGGTCTCCCTTCCAGAGCGGATATGGCGTGCCGTGGCCTGCCTGCAAGAGCCGCCTGTTCTTCAGAGGTCCCCAGACCAGGGGGGGGGGCAGGGGCTGTGCGCTGGCGCCGGCGTAGCTGGAAGATGTTCTGACGGGGCAGGAGGCCAGGGGGAGGGGGCGTCCCAGGAGTGGGGCTGGTGGAGAGATCTTGCAACTGTTTGTGGGTCACGGCACTCTCGTTCTCCCTGAGCGTGCTCAGACCCCCAGTTGTGCTTCATTCCTACGTCATGTCCATTCACACGCACAAGCAGCTACGGGCTGGTTGTGTTCCTGCAGGATCTGGGCCCTCCGGTCCCCTGTCCTGGACTCTGAAGGATCACAGCCCCTGGAGGAGATGTCTATTAGACGAGGAGAGTTCGTTAAAGGGATGCAAGTGGAGGACAAAGCTGCAAGTGATTAAAAATCCCGCAAGAACCTTGTCTTGTCTTGCTGTCGTCTTTGGTTTTCCGAAGTGTCAGAGCGTGGATGGGGACCGTCATCCAGCGATGGAAGGCAGCGTGGTCAGTAACATACGTAATCAAAAAGGCCCTTCCCCGTCACCCCCACTCACCACATCAGAAATGGGGGAGGCGCCCGGCCGGAGGGGGCTTTCTGCCGATCCCCTTGTGTGTAGATGGGTTATGGTGTCGACAAGGTTGCCTGCAGCTGCTCTGAAACCCCCCCCCCCAGTTGTGGGGGGCTTCCAAGCTGAGCCTCAACACTGGGCCTTGAGTTCAGGAGAGGCACTCAAGCTAGCCCGCTGCTTCAGAGGACAGCCCAGCGTGGTGGTCTCAGGGGCGAATTCCACTTAGCGGATGCCAGGGGCCGTTGTGCTGAACCACCCCGACCACCACCAGGTCGTGGACAGCCTTCCAGGAGGGCCCCAGATGGATGGAGGGAGGGAGGGCAGCCCTTGAGGATTTCGTATCTTACTGATGGCGCATTACTTGAGGATTCCGGGCATGGGTCGCCTGCCGCCTGAGGCGCACACGGAGAGCAAGGACAGCTCTCTGAAGCCGGACTCTCTCGGCCGAGGAAAGATGTTTGGTGCCACGGAGGAGATCCTTTGGTGGCAAAGCAGGATCTTCTCTCCCCCCGCTCCCCTTGGTCCAAACCTGATCCTTTGGGGACCCCGTCAGGAAGAGGTTGAATGGCCGGCCTCCCAGAACCAGTGAACCAAAGGTCAAGCATCGCCTCGTCGTGTCAGGACTGAGTTTCTGTTGACTGGCCCTTCTCGGTCTGGGGAATGGTTTTGGAACCCAGCTCAGCATCTCCGCTGCCTCAGTGGCTTTTGACGAAACTCAAGGACAGAGTTTGGTCATGCAGTCTCCACAAGGAAGACAAGACACTGAACCCCAAACCCCTCCCTCGAGGACCTCCTGCTGTGGTTCTTGTGCCTTGAACCTCCAAGCCGGGAGGTCTCTGTGATGGGTCAAGTTGCCACAGCCGAAAAAGGACAATTCTCTCCTCTGCTTCCCCCCCCCTTTTTTTGCTTCTGTTGGCGGCGCTGCCACTAAAACCTACGGGCACTAAAGTCAAAACAGCAGCCAGAGTTTATAAGAAAGTGGAGGGAGAGCCTTCTCGTCAATGTCCTCGATTTTTAATCTCTGGAATGGAGGAGACACCAGCCTTGTGGACTGCAAAGGCGTCCACACACACACCCCCAATACCACCTCCCCACCCCAAGGGCCAGCTGGCCGCCTGGCCACGCTGTGTTTTCATTGCCTTGCCTGACGCTCCCATCCAGATGTCCGGCCACCTGTCCTTCCTTCTCGGTCTGGGGAGGCTCGGAGGGCGGTCAGGGAAGGCCAAGGGCCTCCTCTCTGAGGTTGGCCAAGATCTGCTGAATCTGACTTTCCTTGGGAATAAGACCCCCCCCCAGCTGATGGTGGGTTTGGGGCGCATGTGCATGTGTTTGTGTGCGTGTGCGTGTGCAGCTTCTTTTGCAGACGTTTGGCTTCCATGGCCAGATTACAGTGTCTGGTTCGGGGAGGCTGTATTCTTGGGGGATTAATTTTAATAACATGGTGCAAAAGCTTGCTTGAGCTGCGGAGGGTGCGGAGGTGGGGGCAAGGGTGGGCTGAAGCTTTGGCGTATGACAAGTTCCAGCCCCCACAGAATCTGGCCTGGTGGGGGGAGTTGCTTTAAATGGGGGCAGGGTGCCTGTGTTCGGGGTGTGTTTGTGTGTGTGTGTGTGTGTGTGAGAGAGAGAGGGTTTCGGCCCTGCTTCTTCTGCCTATGGGGTTTTGGAAGAGGTTTTGCTGGCCTGGGTGCGGCTGCACCCCCCTGCCCTCGGCCCAGGCCCTCTCCTGAGCGGGGCAGCCCTTGGCGGGCTGACGCCTCCCCCGCCAGCGCTCGTGGGTCGAGGCCGAGGCTCAGCCTTGCTCTTTTCTCCTCCATGGTAGTTCTGGTTTCGGCAGAAGCTTCTGGAGGGCCCCTGGGGTGTGCCGTTCGCCTGAAGCGGCGCTCTTTTGGGGCTCCTCTGGCCAACCTGTGATCTGACCTCATGTGCAGCTGTCCTGGTACCGATCTTGGAAGTTTATGTATTGTATATTCTTTAAAATGCCCTCTCCGGAGGGCAGGGAGAAAGCAGAAAACGAGCGGCTACCACAGACCCTATTTTGGTTAGTCACCCAACGGACAGCCTGGTTTGTAGCCAGAGATTTCACCAAAGGGCCCCTTGGTTTTGGAGGCTGGGTCTCCCTCTCCTTTATTCCCCTTGCAATTAAGCCCAGGAGAGGCAGAAGGGTGTAGTGGATACAGCCTTGGATAGAAGACTAGGGAAATCTAGGTCCAGTTCTCTGCTTCGCCATGGAAACTGACAGGATGTGTGTAAATGTGTGTGAATAGTATCGTACCTCTCCTTGAACCTCTCACAAACCTTGAAAACTCTTGTCAGGACTGCTATAAATCAGAAGCGACTGGATGGTGCAGACCCAGAGCAAGACCCGAGGGAACGCAGTCTCCTGGTCTCCGGCGTTCAGCCGTTCGGGAAGGAACCAGGTCTCTTGTGTTGCCTCTTGTGAAAAGGCCTTGCAGTCTCTTAGAATCTGTCTTGGATGTTTGAAGCAAAGAATCTTAGAAAGTGCAGTTGCCCTTCTGCAGTGGTGGACTTCTTTCCAAGAGCCTGGATTAAAATATTGCATTCCTCTAAGCCTGTAGGATCCATTTCATCCCCCCCCCCGACAGGGCCCCCGAAAACTAGATTAACACATTGAATTCGGCACGATTGACATCACATTCGGCAAAAAGCTGCTGGGTGGTATTTGTGTAGCTCGGCTTTGGCCGTTGTGCCCACAGCTGGTTTAGAGAAGCATCCTGTCCTTTGGTGACTGGGTTGGCTGTGAAAATCCAAAAGCCGACTGCACATGAATTCTGCCAACTCTTGATATTTTAGCTCCTGGGGTTCAGTTAAAGCTTCATCGCCAGAGGTGTCCAGAACTGTAGTTCTGACAGATGGTAGGAAAAAGTCACAAAGCTAACACTTTTTTAAAAAAAGCCATGTGCAGCTTGGGAGGGCGATCTGTGTTGGCTCACAGCTGCCACGGGGGCTTCCCAAGCCTGGCTAAAACTGGTGGACTCTGTCCTATGTAGGATAAACCAAAAAGAAGCATTTGGAAAGGTGTTCCCTGCTCCGCGTTCTGTACCACCTTCAGGCGACGGTTTTGAACAGAGAGGGCCTTTCCCAAAAGCCTCGTCTGCCTTCTTTGGTTACGTTTTGCAAAACAGAAGCGGCCTGTTTATTAAATGCTGGGTTAAAAGTAGCCAATGGTCCGGTTGTTGATAAACGTGCCTTGAAAGTTTGTTTCTCTGGGGGGGGGGTGCCTCCCGCCCAAGCGGACGCCTCTGTGCTGTGGCCTCTTCTGTGGAGCTGCTTTCGGTCAAGGTTGTGGCGCTCCTGGGTTGCCCCCAGCCTGGCGCCTGCCCGCTCTGTGCCGCAGAAAGCAGGTTTGCGTGTTCGAGAAACTCCAGTTTGTCCCAAAGCCTGGACGGGTCCCATCTGAGCAGTCGTAAAAGGCGACCCAGGGTTTGTGAGGGGCAGGGGCTTTTGTGAAATCGGAAAGTGGACGGGTGGGTAGAACGGAACAGGCCCCTTTGTATTTATTTCAGATGGCGTCCAATCCTTGTGAACCAACAAGGCGTTTTTCTTCTTTCTCTGTTGGGTTTTTGTCTTTCAAATTTGCTGCAGCAGCAAAAAAGTTCTGGAAGAAATGCATTTTTAAAAAAATATATGTTGGTTTGGGGATTCTATAGGAGGGCAGCGACACTAGTTTGGAAATTAAATTAATTAAAAATGTGGCTGTTTTCGGTCCCCAAACTGGCTGGTGGCCTGGGGGTGGGAGAGACCCCTCCCTTTGCAGCAGTGGGTATTCCCCCCCCCCCTTGGAAGTCCTTGGCAGAGAATGGGATTCCCTCTTGAAGCTACCTTTTCCAGCCTGCCTGTTCCCTTCCCCGTGGACTTCTAGGCAGAAGGCAGAAGGCCTGCTTTAAGAAGGGGAAGACATGTTTAAAGTCAATTAATCGGCAGGGCAATGAACGGTGAAGGCTTCCAGTCCGCAGCTGCAAAGAGGTGGTTCTTGCAGAGCCGAAGGGTGGCAGTGCCATCTCGTGGCCGACAAATACATATACAAGTGACTCTCTCTCTCTCTCTCTCTCTCTCTGTGTGTGTGTGTGTGTGTGTGTGTGTGTGTGTTTCTTTCTCGTCCTGGTAGAGGCTACCTTGCTCCATTTTTGGAAAGGGATGTCAGAGTGAGGGCGGGTGGTGGTTTCTTCTCACGTTCTCTCGCTCTCTCTTCATATGTGAGCCAAGCTCACTCCACCTTGGGGTGGGGGGGGTGGGGAGGCAGGGATGCTTTGACGGAGCAGATAGGAACGGAGATGGTCCCTCGCCGAGCCTGGCGGTGCTGGGGCGTTTTTCCGACAGGCTGTTGCCTGCCATTTTGCAAGCCTTCCCGAAGATCTGTGGCAGAGGGAGTGCTGGAATGTGCACGGCTGTCGGTGGCTGTGGGGTGCGTGGGGTGATCTGGAGGGTTGTTGTGGCTGGGCAAGCGCGCAGGAGGGGTGGGTGGACAGGTCTGTCCGTGACCCTTTTGGCTCTGCCTAGCCTTGCAAGTCGTGTCGGACCTCTCCTCCTGAGCCGGGGTGAAAGTAAGAACCCCAGCAGGGGGGACGTTAAGCAGCCAGGGCCAAGTCTCCTTGCTCTGGAGTTTGGGATTCAGAATAACGGAGCTGCTGAAGCCGAGCGCGACTCCCCGGCTGAGCGGCCCCTTCCTCTCTTTGGGTTTGGAGACCGCCTGGCCTGGGGGGAGCAGTGGATTCCCCCTGGAAGCAAAATGCTCTGGGGCGGGTCGGAAGAGCCACGGCCGTAGCCACGGGGAGGGCGCAGGATCCCGGCTCACCCACGGGTGGTTTTCTGTCTCCCTGCAGAGCATTGTTTCCAAGAACGCCATGCAGTACCGAGGGAGCTCCCAGCACGATGCGCAGGAGTTCCTGCTCTGGCTGCTGGACAGAGTCCACGAGGACCTCAACAACACGGCGAAGAACAGCGGCCGGCCTTCGCTCAAGGTAGGGCGCAGTTCCTGGCATGGCTGCGGCCGCCCAGGACCCGAGGAAAGGCCGGTTTCAGAAAGAGGCCGCCCCGCCTGACCCCTCCGGTCGCCCTGGCTGGGGCGGCCCCTTGCACGTGGGGCCTTGCCTGGCTGCTGCCAAAGTGCCCCTCTTGGGGCCTGGGGGCCGCGCGGTCGGCCGTGGGTCCAGGGGGGATTCAGCTGATTGAGGGGGGGGGTTGTGTGTGTTTAAGGGTGGAGCCTGTGCAGCCGGTGTTTTAGGTTGGCCTCGAGGGTGGAGGTCTGCCCTCGGCCAGCTGTGGTTTGCGGCCTCCCAAAGCATGTGGGGAGGCCTGCCTTTTGAAACTGTCTCCCCCCCCCTTCCAGCCACCTCTAGAGGAAGACAACTTGATCGAGGGAGCCGTCTTTTCGATAAACAGCACTTTCGTCCAGGAGCTGTTTCAGGCCCAGTACAGGTAGCCCCCCCCCCAAATGGGTGCAATCTCTCTCCAAGGCTGGGAGGGGGGGCTTTGCAATTCCCGCAGGTTCTGGGTGGGAATTCTGGAAAGGAGAATCCATTGGGACGGAGTTGGGATTTGTGGGGTTTCTCCCTGGGCCTGCAAGGGGGCTCCTTTACAGCTGGGGGGGGGGAGAAGGGGGGGAGGGGTCAAGTCCCAGTTGCCCCAGTTGCCCTCGTGGTTTTCAGACTCCTTCAAGCCCAGTGGCACGAAGAGAAAAGGAAGCCCGTGAGCCTCTCCTGGCTGGCAGGCGGCGGGGAAGGGGGTCCTCACCTCCCTCTTTGCCACCTGCGGCTGAGAGTCGGGCCCCGTCCCGGGGGGACCCTTTGGAGACGCAGGCAAGACGGTGTGTCCCGAGCCGGGTCACTGCCGTTCAGGCCCCGGGGCTGAGCCAGGATCCCAGCCCATCGGCATTTCCCCTTGGCAAAGCGATCGTGGGATCGTGGCCGAGTCCTGCACAGCCTTCTCCTCCTCCCTGGAAGCAAATGAAGTTCGGGGGGGGGGAACTCAGGAGTCAGGGAAGGAGCGTACAAGATTTTCTGCCTCAGATCCTCTCACTGCCTCTGGGTACCAGAGACCTTGATTTGTTTGTGTGTGCGCGTGCACATTCAGGGTGTGTGTGTGTGTGAGAGAGAGCCCAGCGGTCTGGGCCAGCCTTGACTGTCTGCTTTGGCCAGCCCGTGGGGCCCGGGTGATTTAATACCCCTGAGGGGGGGCCTGCCTTTCTCCCAGCTCTTACCCCATGGGAATCTTAGGGCTGGGACCCCCTTTCCCCGCCCCCGCCCCCCAGGCCCTCTTGTGGGGCCGCTGTGGGGCAGCCTCAAGAGCTTGCTTCTTCTTCTTCTTCTCTCGCCCTCCTCGGCAGGTCGTCCTTGACGTGTCCTCATTGCCAGAAGCAAAGCAACACCTTTGACCCCTTCCTGTGCATCTCTCTGCCCATCCCTCTGCCCCACACGCGGTACGTATGGGCCCAGGGAAGGCAGAGTGGGCTGGGAGGGAAGCTTCAGGGGAGGAACAGAGTTCTCTTGCCCATGTGAAGAAGGCACCGCTTGAATGGGCAGGAGGAGCGTGTGCGTGAAGAGTTCTGCGGGCATCACCGGAGAGTGGAGACATTCGGTTTCCTCCAAGTGACCCCCCCCAACCCTGTTTTTAAACAGTTCAAGTGTGTGTGTGCAAGAGAGAGAGAGAGAGCCTGTTAAGCCAAGAACCCTCTCCTTTCTGCCTTGACACTGGTTTCCAGGGGATGTTCTGGTTCCTTATTTCATTTCCCAGACCTCTTGCTGAATAGAACTGTCGTTAGCCAAAGGGCATTTTTAGACAAGTGACCTAAAAACATGGTTAATAACCTGGGGGGGGGGAAGCAAGCTCACCTGTGGCTTTGCAGGGTCCATTTTTAGACTCCTGAGGGTCAGCCTTTTAATGTCGGGAGAGGGTCCGTTTTGTAAAGGGAGGCAGGAAGGGAAGCTTAAATGGCCGCCAAGCAGCTGGCCAACCAACGAGGAGTCCTCCAGAGGCTTTGGGCTTCAGCCGGCATGACGAGGGTCCAGGGCGTCCGTGGGACAAGGCGGGTGGAGGGCAGCGCAGGAAGCGAGTCCAGCAGGATGCTGTTTGTGTGGCGCTTGGGTGCCAGCCGGCCAGGTTGTCTGCTCTCCGCCAGCCGGCTGGCCTTCCTGTGCCTGCCTGCCTGCAGGGGATGATGGGCACCTGGGCACCACTTGCCCTCGTTCCGTCTTGGCGCCACCCGCCCGGCCTGCTCCCTTGGGAGCCACGCGGGGCCTCAGCAGGCTCCGTTCAGCTGGTCTTTGGTTCCCACTGCAGGCCACTGTATGTCACCGTGGTGTACCGAGGAAAATGCTCGCACTGTATGCGGATCGGGGTTGCGGTGCCCTTGTCTGGAACGGTGGCCAGGCTGAGGGAAGCCATCTCCAGGGAAACCAAAATCCCCACAAAGCAGGTATGGCGGTCCTGCTGCAGGCGTGAGGGACCCCGGAGGGGGGGTGTCGGGGGGCGGGGGGGTCATCTGCCCCGCCCTGGTGCCAACATCTGCTGCAGGAAGGTGAGGTGGGCCCGGCGTGCAGGCTCTTTCCTGGGGGTTTGCACACGCGTGGGGGAGACCTCCAATGACCTGGTCCTGGGAGCAGGCCTTGGCCAAAGCCCTTAGCCGGGGGGGTGGGGGGGTGGCAGTCCCTGCTCAGACTGGCCCCGGGCCCCCTGCCTGCCTGCCTGCCTTCCTAGGTGGGTGGGCTCTGGGCAAGCACGCCTCGCACGTGGGGGCCTTTGCTGCTCAGCTCAGGCCACCCTGCTCCATGTCGTGTTACTCTCTCTCTCTCTCTCTCTCTCTCTCTCTCTCTCTCTGCTCTCCCCCAGATTGTGCTCACGGAGATGTACTACGACGGCTTCCATCGCTCTTTCTCTGACCTCGACGACCTGGACACGGTGCAGGAGAGCGACTGCCTCTTTGCCTTCGAGACCCCAGAGGTCTTCCACCCGGAGGGGATCCTGAGCCAGAGAGGTCAGAGGCTGGGCCGGGGCATCTGCCCGGCGCTGTGGGTGGAGGGCCTGGCTCGGTTCTCTGGGGGCCCAGGAGGACTTGGCCACAGGCCTCCGGGCCATCTGGAAGCCCTTTCCTGGGGGCCCTGCCTCTGGGGAAGGTAGGACGGGGCGAGGGGGTGGCAGGCGTCGGGACTCCCTGCCTCCCCTTCCCCAGCTGGGTGCCAGCCCTTTCCTGTTCGGTGGAGGCCTCAACCGAGAAGCCTCCGTCAAGACTCCTCTGGATCTTCCCGGGTTCTGAGGACCAGCTGATGCTGGGGATTTGGGGGGGGGGGATCTCTTGCCATGGCCGCTGCTGGACCTTGGCCACAAAGCCTCTCTCTTTCTCCCCCCCCCACCTGTTTCAGGAATCCACGTGAACAGTAATCTGAACCACTTGAAGTACGGCCTGGACCACCACTGGGCCTCTCCTTACGCCCAAGGGCCACTGGACAACTCCAACAGCCGGGGGTCCGTGGCGGCCCCCGTGGCCGCAAGCGACAAGCTTGTGGTCTTGGTGTGCAACCGAGCGTGTACTGGGCAGCAGGGGAAGAGGTGAGCCCCGGAGGGACTTGGAGGGGAAGGGCCAGAAGGGCCAGCTGGGGAGGGGGGCCCATTCGTTTTAGAGAAGCCGGCCTGTTAAGCAATGCAGGTCCTCCCCTCTTCCTCTGCCTCAGGCAGGGAGGTCCTACCTGGTCAATCCCTGGACGGGAGGTCGTCCCATCCTCCTCCGCCCCTCTCGGGCTGTAAAATCGTGAAGCCTTTTGCCACAGATCCTTCAGACCCGCGAAAGGCTCCGTCCTTGGAGCGTTTGAGGAAATGTCCCTGAACTCTGTGGGATCCTGCAGGGGTGGCCTCCGCTTTAGCTCCTCCTCCTCCCCTCGGCAGGTTCGGCCAGCCTTTTGTGCTGCACGTGGAGAAGACGATCCCGTGGGACCTCCTGCAGAAGGAAATCCTGGAGAAGATGCAGTACTTCCTGCGACCCTCAGCCTGCATCCAGGTATGGTTGTCTGGAACGAGCGCTGGGGCAGGGGCAGGGGCAGGCGGGGGGCGACGAGGTTGTGTGAAGTCTGACGTGCAGGTGAATGCCCCCTACCCCCCACCCTGTTGACCCCATGGTTGTCCATGGGCTTTAGCTGGTGCTTCCTCTTCATCCAGCTGGTCTGCGTGAGCTAAAGGTGTCTGTCTCTGTGTGTGTGTGTGTGTGTTTGCGCCCACCACTGGGCACTGTCTGTCCAGCCCACCTTGTGCCCTTTTCTCTCCTTCCTTGGGGTTACGGCCTCTCTCTCTCTTTCGTCCCCCGCCCTCCCCTCTTGCCCGCCCACTCGGGTGAGAGAGTCCGGGGCCCCCGCCACCCACCCACGGCGCTCCCTCTTCCCTTCCGTCCCTTGCAGGTCTGCCCGTTCAGCTTGAGAGTGGTCAGCGCGGTGGGCATCACGTACCTGCTGCCCCAGGAGGAGCGGCCCCTCTGCCACCTCATGGTGGAACGGTGAGCCCAGTGGCCCTGGGGGTGTGTGTGTGAGTGTGTGAGTGTGTGAGTGTGTGAGTGAGAGAGTGAGTGAGAGTGTGTATGTGTGGGGCGGGGGGGATGCAGGCGTGCAGTCCTAGCGGTTGGCTTCCCCTCCTGGGTTGAGTGGGGGTGAAGCCCGCAGCTGACTTTTTGTGTGTGTGGGAGGAACCTGGCAGCCTCCCTGCCATATGGGGGGGGCGGAAAGGGTGAGAGTCGGAAGGCAGGCTGGTGAAGNGAAGGCAGGCTGGTGAAGCCGCATTTTCATGGGTTTTCCTGGCAGAGCCCTGAAGTCATGCGGGCAAGGCGGAGCCCCTCACGTGAAGCTGGTGGTGGAATGGGACCGAGAGACCAAGGACTAGTAAGTCTCTGAGCGACCCCCACCGGGGGGGGGA